TAAGAAATTACACGCACAGACTTGGACAGCAACGGCATCTAATGGCTTTCTTTATGGATTGTTTATCCTTTTTAAGAGACTTTGATTTTAGTTTCCTGATTTCCTGCTGACTTTTAAAATTCAGGCCGTCTCTTGCTTGATGCCCAAGCCTCTTCTTTCGGAGGCCAGGGCTGCAGCGGCCACCAGGAGGGCCCAGAATGGCAGGACTCCAGGAGTCACTGGAGCACAGGGTCCCACTGCCGCTGCACTGACTCTGCCACTGGTGGGAGCGTTTCTTCTGGAATATTAGAGAAAGAAAAGTCTGCTTTCCATCTATTTTTTCTCCTCTGGAATGAAGTCAAAGTCCCAAGAGACCTTGCCCAATCAATCCATGCTTCACTAAATGTAGGGAGTCCCTCTGATTCAGTGCTCAAGGAAGGGCATCAAGGCATCCACATCCACACACACTCTCTTGTTATTGGCTGCCCTCAAGCTGATTCTGTTTCATGGAAGCCCACATGTGCAGAGCAGAACTGCTTCATACGGTTTTTAAGGCTGTGACCTTTCAGAAGCAGATCAGCAGTCTACCTTCTGAGACACCCCTGGGTGGGTTTGAGCCACCAATCTTTCAGCTAGTGGTCAAGCACTTAATGATTTGTGCCACCCAGGGACTCCACACACACTCCAATATATCCTTGAGAAACTTGTACATGTGCCCAAGGAAACAGGTTTATAGCAGCACTCCTTGTAGCAGCAAAAAAGTATGGAACTACCTACATCCACATCAATGATAGAATAGGATTGTGGTCTGTCTATACATTGGAATATTATGCAGCAGCAAAAAATAAACGAACTAGGCCTCCATCTCTCTGTATGGATGAAATTCAAAATTTGAACGTTGACGAGAAATGGTGTGATACAATTTAAATAAGTTTTAAAAATACACACAATATTCAAGTACTCACAGTTTACATATACTTGGAGTAAAAGTATAGAAAAAGGCATGGGAAAGAGGGACCCAGTAGTGCTTTCTTGCATCAAGGGCACTGAGGAGACTTCAGCTTTCTGTGTCACGTTTCATGAGTGGTTGGTTTTCATGGTGGTTCATGACTGTTTATCAAGTTATGTTTTCCTGCATGTTTGCATGTCTAAACTATTAGGAGAGAGAAAAAAAAAAAAAAAGCAACAGCCAGCTGACCCTGTTGAAAATTATTTATTTACCACTGCAACACTTTGCTCCAAAGTGTGACACCAGACATATGATTACAATGTCCCATGCGTCTTTTTGTGCTTGAGTTTATGACGGCAAAACAAACACATACACGGCATTTGACAACAGGAAACACAGGAGGCAGAAACAAAACACAAGGACTATGTCTCTCTTTTGGTGGGCCTCACCCCAGGTTGGTTTAGGCAACAGCCACCTTCACCTTCACCCAGGACTCCTTGACATCTAAAAGGCGGTGCCCCTGAAGAAACAGGTTTTCTTTCTCTCTTTCTCTGTGGCATCGTTTGGGGTGATCTGATTTGTCATTTAATCCACACCGAGTCATATCTTAAGGTGAAATGGACATATGTGTACAAGGCCTGATCCATAGGCAGTCAAAATATGGATTGATTTGAGGCAAGAAGTGGGAGTCACAGATTAATGAGGGTGGACTCCCAATTCTCTAGCCCTATAGCTGTACCTATGGCAAAGCCACATCCCCTTTCGTGCAACGTCTGAGGTGCTCTCTCACTTTATTTTCACCTCTGCTTTACGCCCTTCTTAGAAAATGCCCCCCTGACAAGGTACAAGCTGTTCCTTTCAGAAATGACCAGACATATTTAGACAGACTCAATTCAGTAGTAATTGCAATCACACCTGGTACAAGGTAAGCCCATTTAGTGATTATTGGAGTTTCTTGATTGGGTGTTCTGACATCTCTGGGTAATTTTAAATTCACCAAGATGGATTTTTGGTAGAATAGCACAGTGACTATGTTCTCTTTTGTTAATTACATTTACACAGAGAGCTACGAATTGTTATTAGGCAGACAGTAATACGTCATGAACTTCTAGGGCAACTGTTGGGAAGTCTGAGGCCTTTCCCTCTGAGAACTCAGCTGGGACTGTGCTATGCCGGTTGCAGTGTCTTCTTCTGGCTATTCTCTCATTCATTAATTGATTCTTAAGCACCCAACAGCCAGCTCAATTCTAAGGTGCTTGGAATACCCCAGTGAACACAACAGACATCTCTGAAAACCCTATTCACTGCTGTACATCCCTGCCACGAGAAGTGACAACTGATGCCTAAGGTATTCTGTGGTGGCATTGGACTCCTGTCAAGGGCAACCTTTAATTGGGATTCTGGAAGACTAAATCTTTGAGATACAGAGAAATAACTGGCCGTTTGATGATGGGATTACCATGTGCAGAGTTGATCTTCTGGGATCAGGAGCCCTGCCCAGCCCACCTCTAATGTTCTTTGCTGTGACTGTAAGGTGAGTGCATAGATTTGTAAGGAAGTAGAACGTATTTTCTGATTTTAAGTTAGAAACCAGACTTTTTAGATTGGGTAGTAGATGGTTACCAAGAAGGGAGTGTTGGTCAGCTTCGATAGGGACTATTTTCTTCTGTTTTGGCCATCCAACGAGAAAGGAGAGACCAGCATGGTAAGGACGGTCTTGAAAACGTGTTATAGGAAACTGCTAACAAATGCTTCACCTAAAAAAAGACTTGAAGGGGCCATTTGACATTAATGATCAAGGCTTTCAATTATTGAAGGACTTGCTCAGGGAAAAGGATTGGGTATTTTTTCTCTCTCTCCAGACAGTACTTCTAATGCTTTTCCCTTTTTGTATAGAAAGGGAAAATAATGATTAAAGTTATAAGATCCCTGCTCAGATTCTCAGGGAGAAGCCAAGAGTGACTTGACTTATTGAAGGAATAAGTCTAACCCTCACCCATCTTGTCTAGGAATTCTCTCTTAGAACAGAGGACTGGGTTGACATCTGAAGACCCAGTTTGGCCCAGTGGGTATTAAGAAATCCAAATGTGAAATCTCTTGGTGCTGGAAACACCTGGGATGGTGCCAGCACTTTCTGGACAGTCTCAGCTGCCAACTTGAAGTGAAAGACAGTGATCTAGCTTGAAGATGGTCCTCTGGATGCCTCAAGGGCTGTGCTTGCTTGTTTGTCTGTAGCCAGGAGCACCTGTGGCTTTTGAGCACTATTTCATTTATCACATCATCCACAGAGACAGAGCTCCCGCATCCTTAGGCCTATTTCACAGATGGACGAACTGAGAAGCTGAAAGGGCAGTGACAGAAGAACCTAGGAATCCTGGTTCAGGGGCGATTATTATGTCCACTTAGCAAGGCTCATTATTTAGGTATAATTAACAATGTGGACATCTGCTTAGAATAACAAGGCAGGAGTTCAATATACAGCTAGCTTCTAGTTATTTATGATTAAAGTGATAACCTAAAACCAAACCCACTGCCATCAAGTCAATTCTGATTCATAGTGACCCTTATAAGAACTGCCCCATAGGGTTTCCAAGGCTATGAATCTTCACAGGAGCAGACTGCCACATCAGTCTCCTGCAGAGTGGCTGGTAGGTTTGAACTGCCGACCTTTTGATTAGCAGCCAAGTGTTTAACCACTGTACCATCAGGGCTCTGATTAAAGTGACAGGTCTTGCAAATTATTGAGGGAGGTCTGTTTGTAAAAGACTTCATTTCCTTTTTTAAAGTTAACTTCCTTCATGTTGCCAGATGTAATAGACTAATTACTAATGAATTAATATGTGCCCAAATGAAATTCCTCCTGAGGTGGCTGGAATGCAGAAAAGGAAAGGGTCTATTTTAGGGGGCCACTCGGGTGATGCTGGTGACCATGAGAATTAGTGTTTAGAATCCAGCCTAACTTCTAACAGATGATCCTACCTATGTTTGTCAGGCAAGCTTTCCCCAAGTATTATACAGACTGATTTTGAAAGGAAACAATAAAGTTATTTTTAGAAAAACACAAAATTCAGTCTAGGAACAGAATCTGAAAACCACAAGTTAAAAAATTAAGAACGAAACTAAGAAACAGGGGCGCCCCAGTTTCACACTGATGAGAGGAGGTATCCAACAATGGACTAGGCTACGCCTTGGGTAGGACCCCATCAAGGACTGTGTGGAATGCTGTAGGAGGGATTTCTCCTAGTGCCCCTGCCTCTGCATCAGAACCACTCAGTGCTTGTTGAAAATGCAGATTCCTGGACTTCGTCAGGAATACTGATTTGGAACACCTCCTGGGGGACCTGGGAATCTGTCGGTGATTCTTCACACACTAAGATTGGAGAGGAGTCTCTGGGTGGTGCAAAGAGTTCATGCCTTAGCTGGTAACTGAAAGGTTGGAGGTTCTAGTCCACCCGAGGCACCTTGGCTATCTACTTCTAAAGAAACCAGCCACTGAAAACCCTAGGGAGCACACACAGTTCTATGCAGACACCCGTGAGTCAAAGTGGACTTCACAGCAACCAGTGAAGGTTTGAGAACTTCGGGGTTACTGTTTCGAGTGGGGAGACTGATGTAACCCTGGCGAAGCTTTCACCCCATCCTGACTTCCAATTCTATGACGTGACCCCAGGTAGTTTTACTGACTTCATCATATTTTGGAAATGTTTATTTTCAAAAAGCATGATTCTCTTTGCATCCATTGGTCCCCAAGGTCAACATTCTCTCCATCAAGCCTGACTCTACCTGCAAAGCCTGCACACAGGCTGTACTTATTAGTGTCATTTTCAGTAACACAGAAGTGAGCCAAATGCACTCCTCCGTGACATCTGTGTGGCCTGTTTCTAGACTGAGCCCTGCCCCTGCCTTGTCCTTGGTGGGTGCACAAATTCATTTTTCAAAAATGGAGGTGTGATGAGAAAGGACCTGGCTTTGCAAACACGTCTGCCCTAGTCTTCTGGGTGTCCAGATGAGGAGGGGGCACAAGGAAGGGGCTGCAGAGGACAGCTGGGGCGGGCGGGATGGGCTGGGGTGGAGAAGGGAGGCTCCTGGCCGGGTTGCCGTCTACAGGTGCAGCTGGTGCCACATGGCGATCTGCCGGCGTGGGTTCTTCAGCATCTCCTCCCAGTGGCTGTGCCCAGAGCCCGTGGCGTGCAGGCCCAGGCTGCAGTGGCCAAGCGCGTGGCTCTGGCCCTCCTCGTCCTGGCCCAGCACCTCCAGCTCCACGCTGGAAGCCCGCAGCAGGTCATCAGGCAGCTCGAACATGATCATCTCATTCCATACGGGGTTGATCTTGTGCTTGGCCCGTTTAGTCTGCTTCTTCTTCAGCTTCTGAGCCTGGTGCTTCAAGGTCACCTTGACAGAGACATCTGGGGAGGGACAGGAGAGAGAGACAGAGAGAAGGACTGAGCATGCACCATGGGCATCTGGTGGGGGCTCGGATGCTGCTCCTCCTATGGTTGGAGAGATAGAGTCTCTGGTTCAAGATCTGTGCTGAGGCCTCCTCTCCAGCCCCCGCTACTGGGTCATTTATTCAGTCGGCATGAGGTGCCTACCATCTGCCAAAGGAGCCCTGCTGACCCAGGGCTTAAGTGAAAGGACGATGGTTCAAAGCCCCCAGTCACTTCGCAGGAGAAGGGACCCCAGTCACTTCGCAGGAGAAGGGACCCGATGATCTGCTTCCATAAAGATTACAGTCTAGGGAACCCTTTGGGACAGTTCTACTCTGTCTCATGGGATTGCCATTAGTTGACAGAATTTAACAACAATAACAGATGCCAGGAACTGGTCTTGACATGGGAATGGAAACTCCTGCCTCCATGGAACTAACACTCAAGTGTGGAAAAGAGACAGTAAACATAATATTTAAGGCTGGCCATGGGGTGGCCCAAGATTAAGGCCTTGGACAGCCACCACTTGTCTGTCAGTTTGTTGTTGTGTGGTGGCTTGCGTGTTGCTATGATTCTGGAAGCTATGTCATTGGTATTTCAAACATCAGCAGGGTCTCCCACGGTGGACAAGTTTCAGCAGAGCTTCCAGACTTAGACAGACTAGGAAGAAAGCCCCGGGGATCTGCTTCTGACAGCCAATGAGAACTCGAGGCTCACAACAGAACACTGTCCAATGGGGTGCTGGAAGATAAGCCCCTAGGCTGGAAGGTATTCAATGGACCTGAGCTACCAACAACTGTGGAGATAGATGGTCCAGGCCTGGACACCATTTTGTTCTGTTGTACATGGGGTTACAATGAGTCAGAGCTGACTCTATAGCAGCTACAATAATGGTGTGCCACCAGGGAACCTTTGCCAGGAGCCCTTCCACATGACTTCTGAGCCCCATATCAAACCAGTCCCAGGTGTCCTGCAACTGAGTTTAAACTCAAGCAAGATAACTAAGTCACCTCTACATCTTCATCCCCTATTCCTCCATCTGAGCTTTTGATTAATACTCTTAACATAGTAAGTTTCCTGCTGAGTGGTTGAGTTCTCACCTGCTCTTTTGTATGTTTTCCTCGAGAACCCCAACTTCTTGTAGAGAGTGAAGGCAGACTGCTTTGGCCCTCCACAGGCACTGCACCACAGAACCCAAAATGAAACCAAACCCAACTCACTGCCATCGAGTCGATTCCAACTCATAGCGACCCCCCTTTGGGTTTCCGAGGCAGTAAATCTTTTTGGAAGTCGATTGTCCAGTCTTCCTGCTGCAGAGTGGCTGGTGGGTTTGAACTGCCAAACTTCTGGTTAGCAGTCAAGTACCTTAAGCACTATGCCACCAGAGCTCCTTGCACCACAAAACAGCCCCCCGGAAAAATCCATAAACAGGTCACCAGACTAGCTTCCAGGTAACATTACAAGGCTCAAACCTGGGACTGCAAATATTCATTAGTCAAGGTTCTTGAAGCGAATGGGAGAATAATTGGTGCTCTGTATTTATTGCTGTAATTATCACCCCTGGGTGGTTAGTTTGTTATTTCAGCAGAGATATTTGAAAGACAGAGTGGTGTGTGGTTATGGCCCTGGAAGGGGCTATAAAATAACAGCAGGAGAAAAGGATGCTCGGAGGGGAGAAGGAAGACGCATTGAACTCTGACATTTGGCTCCGGAATCTATCAGCAAGAACGGTTCTTCTGATTTCGTTGGCCCAGAATCTTTGGCTCAATGATTCTGAACATAGTGGCAATTATTTATTTCTATTTACTGCTGTAAGCACATGGCTGCAGGGCCAGGTATGGTATAGCTAACAGACGCTGCTTACCTGCTCTGACAAGACTTGGGATGGGAGCTGGGGCAGCCAGAAGGAAGAAGTGAGGCTTCCAGAATGCTGAGGAAGTGCTTATCTGGGTGTACCAGCCCACATGCCTGCACACCTCCCATCACCCACACTCAGCTGGTGTAGGGGTGGCAGGTTGGCAACGGCTGAGAAGAGAGAAGAGTCTGGGGTGGGTGGAGGGAGTAGGTGTGGCTAGCTGAGAAGGAGAACCGGGGTTCCTGATACCTGCTTGTGTGTGTGTGTGTGGGGGGGGTACAGTCACGTGTGAGGGACAAGGGTGGGTCAAGTTTCCTGTGCAGCCCAGACATTCCACTCCATGGCTATAGTCTGACCCTTGGCTTCTGGTGACCCATGGTTAAGGCTGATTCTACTCTCTGTGGACCTCTAGAGTACAGAGTCCCAGGTAGCTCATACCTAGTCACTAGTGGGTGGATTGGCCCAGAAGTGACTGGATGTAAATGTGAGAAAAGAGTGTGTCTTCAGTTTGGTGTGTGAGTGTAATGGATGGAACAGTGTCCCCAGGTATGCGCTGGATTCCTAAATCTTATACATGTGAATATCACTCCCTTTGGGAACAGGGTTTTGTTATGTTAACGGAACCATATCAGTGTAAGGTGTGTTTTATGCTAATCACATTTCTGAGATATAAAAGGTGGAGGTTAGGCACAGAAGCAAGCAAGCACAGACTGAGGAAGACAGGCGCTGTGCCCCATGAAGATCCCAAGGAACAGAAACCGAAAAGAGACAAGGACCTTCCCCCAGGGCCAGAAGAGAGAAAAAGCTTTCCCCCTAGAGCCAATGCCTTCAATTTGGACATCTGACCTCTTCAACTGTGAAAAAACACATCTTTTCATTGAAGCCACCCACTTGTGGTCTTCAGGAGAACAGTGTGGTTAAAGCATTTAGCTGCTAACCAAAAGATCAGCAGTTTGAACCCACCAGCCGCTCTGCAGGAGAAAGATGAGGCAGTCAGCTTCTGTAAAGATTTGTTGTTGTTGTTATGTGCCATCGAGTCAGACCTGACTCATAGCAACCCCTCCTTGGGTTTCCGAGGCAAAATCACTACAGAAGTAGATTGCTCAACCTTCCTTCTGAGGAGTGGCTGGTGGATTTGAACCGCCAGCTTTCTGGTTAGCAGTCAAGTGTCTTAGGCACTATGCTACCAGAGCTCCTCTGTAAAGATTTAGAGCCTTAGAAACCCTATGGGGCAGTTCTACTCTATCCTAAAGGGTCTCAGTGAGTCAGAATTGACTCGGTAGCAGTGGGTTTGGTTTTTTGCTTGTGGTCTTCCTGTTACAGCAGTCCTAACATAGTCAAGGCTGACTCCACAAATGTGCTCATGGTCTACCTCCCTGCTCACTGTCTCCATTGCTGCCTCCCCGGCCTCATTCTCAATGCCCAGGGGGCCCTGGCTCTCTCCTCTCACACCTCACTCACCCTTCCCCAGCAGGTCCTTAGATGGATTCGAGTGGAGGTTCTTGGCCTTGATCAGCACCACTAGGAGGCGGTTGGCAGCCGGGAGGTAGCTGATGGATAGGAGGACCTCTCCAGTTCCTGCAGACGCTTCCTAAAACAGAAGAGGAAACGGGGAAGGAGTGGCTTCTGACCCAACCAACTAATGCTAAGGCTGGGTTTGCACTGGACTTACATCAAACCAGCACCCTAGACAGTGTAAGGGGCCCTCCTGGCAGAATAGTTAATTGCTCCCAGCGCTGTGAAAGACCTAGCAATGTGCTTCTATAAAACTTGCTGTTGTTTGGAGCTGCCAAGTCAACTGCAACTCATACCAGCCCCTGTAACAGAGTAGAACCACCCCATAAGGTTTCCTAGGCTGTAATCTTTATCAAAGCAGATTCTCAGATTGCTCCTGCAGAGCCACTGGCTGGGTTGCAACAGACAACCTTCAGGTTAGCAGCTGAGGGCTTTACTGTTGTGCCATCAGAGCTTCTTCCATAAAGATTACAGCCTAGGAAACCCTATGGGGCAGGTCTACGGTGTCACACAGCGTCACTGTGAGTCACAAATCGACTCGATGGTACCTAACAGCAACAACAGAAACCATTTGCTCCTCAGGGCTGGTTTCTCTACCCTTGCAGAAGAGAGTAGGAAAACACTTAGTAACCATCAATGCTGTTTTCTTCACCCTTGCTGAAGGGAGTAGGGGCATAGGTTAACCACAGAGGAGTTATCTTTGGTGTGTGCTTCAATATGGAGCCCTGGTAGTGCAGTAGTTAAGCACTCCAGGCTAACTGAAAGGTCAGCAAGTTCAAACCCACCAGCTGCTCCACAAAGAAAGATGTGGCAGTCTGCATCTGTAAGTTTTATAGCCTTGAAAACTCTATGGGGCAGTTCTACTCTGTCCCATAGGGTCATTATAAATCAGAATTGACTTGTTGGCTGTGGGTTGGGTTTGGTTTTGATGTTTCAATAAAAGTTTGCCATAAAATATGATCTTTTTCAAATATCTTATATTCAGACTCAACATATAAAATAGATAAAAGAGATGCCACTCAGAATGTGGTATAGAAAACCAAGAGGCCTGGTTGTTCAGATATTCAGATACCCTCTCACCCCCTCAGCATCACCCTGAGCTCCTGGGAGCACCTCCTGGGGGCAACTCTAGGGCTCCTAGGAACCCAGTTTGGGAACCACTGCATTACCAAGCAGGTTTCCGAGTCAATGGGGAGTTTAAATCATTACTTTGTTTGGAAAGGTAATTCCTTCCAGCCCCTGCAGGTTGACAGATCAATAAGGTGATAGGATAATGCTGAGCATGGGCTTGTTTGGTCAACAGAGTGGCCAACAATGTCAATAAAATGATGGTCCTAGGATGGCAGATAAGGCACCAAGGGCAAGGGACAGTGACTGCACTTTGTAGGAGGTGGTAGTGCCCAGGGGAGACACCGAAACAGTCCTCCATCTGCAGCTTGACAGAATGTTCCCATTTCAATGCCTACAAGAGTTTATTTGGTATTGCAACAAATCCTTCAATGGGCAAAAAGGACCAGAAGACTTATCTTGGGATGTGGGTGTGACATAGCCCAAAGCTTTGAGGGAACCGGATGGGGAAGAGAAGGGGCTTGTGGGTGGGGGCCAGCTGGAGGCAGACACGTCCCCTTCCTTTGGGCAGGGGTTCCTGGGTGGTGCACATGGTCAACACACTCAGCTGCTAAATGAAAGGTTAGAGACTTGAGTCCACCCAGAGGGGCCTGGGAAGAAATGTGTCATGATCCACTTCTGAAAAATCAGCCAATGAAGCCCTGTGGAGCCCCGTTCTCTCTGACACACATGGGGCTGCCCTGCACTGGAAACCCCAAGGGGGAGGTCTGGCCATGGCCTGCTACCCCAAGATGGAGAGTGTGGGACAGGCATGGGGACAAAGCCTGCTCCACCAGAAACCACACTTTACTCGCCCGCATCCCTCCAGCTCTGTCCTTCTTTCCCAGCTGTGCAATGAGGGCACTTCAGGGCTGCCTCCCCTGTTCCTGCCCCTTGGGCAACTGGCTAATGGCCACCATAATGCCCTATGCCTCCCCTGCTCTGTCAGGCTCAGAACACATGCAACAAGTTGTCTGCTTGTCTCTCCTGGATCGTGGGCTAGGAAGGGCAGGGATCGTTTTTCCTTTGATCACTGTGCGTCCCCAACACTGGGCCTGGCTGATAAGGGGTGGTCTGTACATAGGTACTAAGTGACTGAGGGGACAGTGGGGACTGTGTGCCATGACTCACTAATTGTGTGATGTTCAGCAGGCTGTTTAACTTGTCATAGTCTTAGCTCCCTTATCCAAAGAGGTAGAGTGGCTCATGAAGCAGACTGGCATCAAGTACCTACTCTGCTCCAGGCTCTGCACTGGGCGTTCCCATTGCTACAGTGAAGAAGACAGTGACATGGTGCTCTGTGAGCTGACAGCCAGGCAGGGAGATGGGGCATGATTATGTATGTTACCTAACATCAGGCAGTGTTAAATGCTATGAAGAAATACAGATACCAGGGGATTAAGTGAGAAAACACACACAGAAGTCCTCAACGAAGGTCAGAAACTATGATTTAATGACAACTGTAGTAACAACAATTAGTGGTAATAAGGTTTTCACTGGCTAATGTTCAGAATAGCTAGGCCTTTGGGTGACCCTGCTCATATCTGAAATACCAGTGGGCAAGTTTGCAGCATCACAGTAACATGCGAGCCACCACTGTATGACAGACTGACAGACGTGTAGTAGCGCACAAGTGGCAGCAGCTAACATCTATCGAATGCTTTCTACATGCTAGCTGTAGTTACATTAGCTCTCCACCGGACCATACACTCCACAAAGATAGCCCTCTCCCTATGCATTCCCAGAGCCCTAGTGGCACAGTGGTTCAGGGCTCAGCTGCTAATCAAAAGGTCAGCAGTTAGAATGCACCAGCCGCCCCCAGGACAAAGAGATGGCAGTTGGCTTCTGTAAAGATGTATAGCCTTGGACACCCTAGGAGGTAGTTCTACTCTGTCCTGTAGGGTTGCTATGAGTCAGAATCAACTTGACAGCAATGGGTTTTGGTTTGAGTTTCACTCATCTCCAGCACCTAGCACACAGTTGGTGAAGATCAAACTGTATGGAAAAGAACGCTGAGCCATCCCATTTAATCTTGACAACAGCCCTAGGAGGGATCCTAGTTTTATTCTCATTTGAGGGATAAGATGCTCAGAAAGGGTTTGTCCACGAGGTCACGTAGCCAGGAAGTAGCCAGACTAAGCTTTAAATGGAGATCCAATCTGATAGCAAAGCCCAGGCCTGAACACACCGTTGTCCGGCTTCCTGGCTGGCTGGTCTACCCTGGCTCTCTTGTTTCAGTGAAGAAACTGAGGCCCAATGGCTTGTGCAGTGCCAGCCTGCTGACTCAGGGTCACTGAACAGAGGTCTTCGATTAGCCTGGTCTATCCCCACAGGGGAGTCCCTGGGTGATACGAACGTTTAACGTCCTTGGCTACTAACAGAAAAATTGGAGGTCCAACTCCACCTAAAGGGGCCTTGGAAGACAGCCTTTGAAAATCCTACACAGCACAGTTCTGCTCTTGATACACGTGGTTTGCCATGAGTCGGAGTAGAAATCACCTGGTTTGGAGGTCCTGGGTGGTACAGTTACCACAATCGGCTGCTGACCGAAAGGTCAGAGGCTCAAGCCCCCGCAGGGGCACCTTGGGAGACGAGGCTAGTGATGTACTTCTGAAAAATCAGCCATTGGAAACCCTAGGGAACACAGCTCTACTCTGACACACGAGTTGGGATTGACTGGACAGCAGCTGGTTTGCTGGTAGGCACTGGGTGACGAGGCTTCAGCCCTTCAATCCCCCCAGACTAGGTGAAAGGAGCCTGTACCTGTGAGGGGCTCTCTACCTTAGTGTGGGGGTGCCAAAAGGCCCTTGGACCAGCCCAGCCAGCTGCTGGAGTCTGAGGAATCTAACAACACCTGTCCCCTTGGCTCTCCTGCTTAAAGTACCTGGGGACAAAAATAACCCTCCTTCTGTTTTCATTCCTTCTCATCCCTTCCCTTGTTTTGCCTCCCTCCTCGCTCTCTCCTCAGCTCTCAGTTAATCATTCAAGCTGCCCACGGAGTGAATTGCTCTGTGGGACCCTGATGACGCACACTCTACTTTCGGCTGAGTGTCTTCCGGTTAGAACTGGGGCACCTCTGTTAACCCATTCTGGCCTAGAGGAGACAGAGACAGACATCTGGGCTACAGCTACTTACGATTCCCTGTTTTATTCCAATCACCCTCTGGCTGAGGTAAGGAAGCCCCACAGGAGGTAGGCAGCCTGGCCTCAGGGCTCTCTGTCCTGCAAAATGCTCCAAGAGTACCACCTCCTGCTTCTCACTCCACTCTGTACCGAGTTGTTCACATCTGTGGGACACAGGGCAGCATTCAAGGTGGATAGGAGGGTATATTCACAAACTCCAGCTACAAGGAGTCTCTGGGTGGTACAAACCAGTAAGTGCTTGGCTACTAACTAAAAGGTTGGCAGTTCAAGGCCACCCAAAGGCATCTCAGAAGAAAGGCCTGACAATCTACTGCTGAAGGATCACAGCCATTCAAAACTCTCTGGAGCAGCTCTACTTTGAAACACATGGGCTCGCCATGAGTGAGAATCGACTCCATGACAACTGGTTTGGTCGTTTTTTAACAGCTACAATGAGTGTGATGATGACTGGAATGGATAAGCTTTAAAGGCATGACTTCTTCTTGTGTACTTTTGTGTCCCCAGCTCTTAGCACAGTGCCTGGAAGAAACAAGGGAAAGCATTCATGGAATGAATGAATGATTGAATGATGGTGATGCTGGCTCTTCCAGAGGACGCATAGGAGATTCCTGAAGTGTCTGCTTACATTGGCTTCCTCTCAGCCCTTTTGGGGCTGAACCAAACCTTCCAGAAGCCCAGCAGGGGCCTCCCCCTCTCCAGAGAAGCTAGTTTATCAGCTTAATAAACCAAAGTGTTGGCTCCTTCCCCCCAGGCCCCCGTCTGTGATTCCCCACAAGGCCCACATCACATGCTAATTAGTGTGTGCTCTGGAACAGCCTGGTTCCTTTGGAGAGCGGCTGTGAGTTTTCTCTCCATTTTCCAAGCCTGGGAGAGAGAAGTGGGGCAGGGAGGAAATCAAAACGAACGGAGGAGCAGGTGGGAGGGGGTGTGCTCTTCCCTCCTGCAGTCGAGGCGTCTGTTAGGAACTACCTGCTGGTCCTGCCTCAGACACTTGCCCACACTTACGTGGCACGAGACAGAGCTGCATCAGCCTGGGCTCAAGCGCCAGCTCAGCAGTGAATGAACTGGATCACCCTGGGCAGGTTACTGGACTACCTTAGCTTCAGTTTGCTCATCTGTAAATGGGAAGAGCCATGGTGTCTCTCACTTGGTTGGTTTGAGAAGTCAAAGAACTTAGGGAAAGTTCTGAACACAGCATCTGGTATTATGTTGTTATGTGCCCTCGAGTCGGACCCGACTCATAGCGACCCCTCCTTGGGTTTCCGAGGTGGTATCACTATGGAAATAGATTGACCAACCTTCCTTCTGAGGAGTGGCTGTTGGGTTTGAACCGCCAGCCTTCTGGTTAGCAGTCAAGTGCCTTAGGCACTATGCCTGGTATTACTAAGTGCTCAAAAATAGTGCTCTTATTACTATTTCTAACTCTAGTACAAAGGTCATCAAATCTTTCCTATAAGGAACCAGGCAGTAACAGTTTAGGTTTGGTGGGCTATACAGTATCTACTGCAATTGCTCAGCTCTGACGGTGTAGTGCGAAAGCAGCTAATAAGGAAATAAATGGGCATGGCTATGTTCCAATAAAACTTTATTGATGGCCACCGAAATTTGAATTTCATGTAATTTTCATGTGTCATAAAATATTCTTTTTCTTTCTAATTCTCTTCAACCATCTAGAAATGTAGAGCTCTGGTGGTGCAGTGGTTTAAGTGTTCAGCTGCCAACCAAAAGGTCAGCAGCTGGAACCCACCAGTTACTCTGCAGGAGAAAGATGTGCAGTTTGCTTCTGCAGAGGTTCTGAACAAGGCAGAGCAAACACATGTCAGTGAGCATGGCACCAGGGAAAAGTGTAATAAGAAACACACATGCAAGACTATGGGCTAGAGAGGAGGGAAAACAGCTTCCAACTAGAAAGCCTCATGGGGAAGATGGCGTTGGAGAAGGACATTGGATGTCGAGATGGGAGCGGAGCATTGTGGATAAAGGGTTAGCTTGGGCAAAGGCACATGGCTGGGAGGAGCAGGGCCAGTGACGAGGAAGAGCACATTATCATTTACCTTCATGCAAGGTTCATGAAGGGGCTAGAGAACAATGAGTTAGGATGGGTGGGTTGGGCCTAGAATACTAGCTAGGTTCCATTCCACTAGGTAAGGCATGACCAGCTGGTTGAGAGACTGGTCATCCAGAAGTTTCCCTCTAGATACCAAGTGGCAGGCCATTGGATGCGGTCTTGACCCTGGGGCCTGTGTAACCACAGCGCCCTGCAGCCCTCACTCGCTCACTGCCCCGCCCCCCTCTGAGTAATGCAGCATCTGAGCTGCACATTCTTTCCAACTGTGGCCTCCCCAGCAGCAGAGGGCTGGCGAGCACCATCCCACGGCCCGTGATCGTGTAGAACAGCACGCTCTGGGTCTGCTCCAGCCCAGCACAGACACCAGTGCACCCTGGGGCTTCCAGAACTCTCACTCAGAGCACTTTGGAGAGGCCTCTCATATGTATCTGGTAGCATAGTGGCTAAAGCACTTGACTGCTAAGCAGAAGGCTGGCGGTTCAAACCCATCAGCCACTCCTCGGAAGGAAGGTTGGGCAATCCTACTTCCGTAGTGATACTGCCTCGGAAACCCAAGGAGGGGTCGCTATGAGTCGGGGCCGACTTGACAGCACATAACAACAACAACAACTCATATGTATCTTGTGGCGTAGTGCCTAAGGCATCTGACTGCTAATCAAAAGGCTGGTGCTTTAAACCCACCAGCCACTCCTTGGAAGGAGTACTAGGCAATCTACTTCCATAGAGATACTGCCTCGGAAACCCAAGGAGGGGTTGCTATGAGTGGGGATCAACTCAACGGCAGTGAGTTTGGTTTTTGGAGTCATGTGTGTCTAGGGATTCATCCTAAGCCAGGTATGATCATCATCGTCATCCTTTGTCCATGCCAGTTTATCACTCTGGCACGTACGTTCTGAGTGTAGGGGCTCTGCCATTCTGCCTTCGTGTTCATCTCCCCTGCAGCGCCTGGCACACAGTAGGTGCACACAGTGCATAGTTTGAATGGAAGTGGGGAAAACACTGTCATAGCATTGGAACCAATCATGGACACTTAACCTGCCATGCTCCATGATGGCAGGGGGCCATCTTTGCATGACAAGCTAGAAGCAAAGCAAAGAGCAGAGGCTAGGAATCCCACAGACCTGAGCCCTCCTCTAACCTTCCTTTCATCCTCAGTTGGAAAACTCTCAGAAACTCATTCCACAGCACTGGCCCAGGGTTGCCGTGCTCCACACAGACCATTCCTGCCATGACATGCTCCACCAACAGGCTTTACCTTCTTGGCAAGAGATGATCCCTACTGTCTCAGTCTCTTAGTGCTGCTATAACAGCAATATCATAAGTTAGTGGCTTTAACAAACAGAAATGTATTTCCTCCCAGTTTAGGCAGCTGGGGGTCTGTGCTCAGGGCATTGGCTCTTGGGGAAGGCTCGCTCTGCCTGCTCTGGGGGACATGCCTTGTCTCAGCCTCTTCTTGGCGTTCCTTGGAGATCTCCACATGGCATCCCTCTTGCCCAGTTCCTGTTTGTTTTCTTCTGTGCTTAATCTGCTCTTCCATATCTCAGAGGTGGTGACTGACTTAAGATCTGCCCTACCCTGGTATGGCCTCATTAATGTAACAAAGAAAACGCCATTCCCAAATGGCATGTTGTTTTTGTTGTTCGGTTCAATGGAGTCATATCCGCTCATAGTGGCCCCATGTGGCAGAGTACAACCGCTCCATAAGGTTTTATGAGCTGTAATCTCTATGGGAGCAGATCACCAAGTCTTTCTCCCATGGAGTTGCTGGGTAGGTTCAAACCGCTGACCTCTCAGTTAGAAGTCAAGCACTTAACCATTGTACCACCAGAGTGCCTTCCAAATGGTACATTAAAAAAAAAAAAAAAAAAAACCCACTGCTATTGAGCCAATTCCAACTCAGGACAGAGTAGAATTGCCCCATAGGGTTTCCAAGGGTGTAAATCTTTATGGAAGCAGGCTGCCTCATCTTTTTCCCATGGAGTGGCTGTTGTTGTTGTTGTTATGTGCCATCGAGTCGGCCCCGACTCATAGCGACCCCTCCTTGGGTTTCCGAGGCAGTTATCACTACAGAAGTAGGATTGCCCAACCTTCCTTCCGAGGAGTGGCTGGTGTGTTTGAACCGCCAGCCATCTGGTTAGCAGGCAAGTGTCTTAGCCACTATGCTACCAGAGCTAACCCCCATGGAGTGGCTAGTGGGTTTGAAATGCTGACCTTCTGGTTAGCAGCTGAATGCTTTAGCCACTGTACCACCAGAGCGCCTTTCCAAATAGAACAGGGGTTAGGATTTACAGCATGTATTTTTGGAGGACACAATTCAATCCATAACAATTACCTTAGCTGAAGTCTTCAGCTCACCCCACTGGGCAGCCCCCAGAGGTACTGACACCCCATCCAGGCCCAGGCAGAGCTCGCCGGCCACGCTATGGCGGGAGAAGCGGTCACAGGTGCGCAGTGTCAGTGTCAGGGTAGCTGTGGGGAGCTCCTCCTCCGCCAGGGGGAGCACCAGGCCTTCCTCCCAGGTCGTGTGCAGCTGCCGCTTCTTCAGGGCTGTTTGAGCCTCCACAGAGCCCATCCTGTTGGCCACGCTGCCTTGGACATAACAGTCACAGCCTCCGTCGTGGTCACTGGTCACAGCTGCAGGCAAGGAGGAAGCGACATAGGCATGGGACCTCGTGAGGTCACAGGGAGGGAAAAAGCATGTCCCTACATGGGGCTGTGGAATCCAGCTTGACAGTCCTGACCTTAGGCATCTGAAAGACAAAAGGGCTGACTACCCAGTACACTGTGGAAACTCTTTTCAGTAAGACCATTAGACATAGGGGCTCACCCATGCAACCAATAGCACCCACTGGCTTCCCTTGGAGAACAGGGACAAGACTTGGTGCCTCTCGGAGCCCTTCCAACCTCATGATTCTGAGATTGTCCCTAACTGCTGATGGCTTTTATCAGTATCACCACTGATATTGAGATTCTTTTGTTCTACATAGGAGTCCCTGTTGTTGTTGTTATGTGCCCTTGAGTTGGCCCCAACCCCTCCTTGGGTTTCCGAGGCGGTATCACTATAGAAGTAGATTACCCACTCTCCCTTCTGAGGAGTGGCTGGTGGGTTTGAACCTCTAGCCTTCTGGTTAGCAGTCAAGTGCCTTAGGCACTATGCTACTAGGAGTCCCTGGGTGGTGCAAATGGTTAGGCACTGAGCTACTAACCAAAAGGTTGGTGGTTTGAGCCCTCCCAGAGGCACCTCAGAAGAAAGTCCTGGTAATCTGCTTCTGAAAGGTCACAGCTTGGAAAATCCTATGCACACAGCTCTACTCTGCAACACGTGGGGTTACCGTGAGTCAGAACTGATTCATGAGCTTAAAATATTTACTACACAACCACTTGAGAGTAAACCACATGGCTGCTTCCTCATGAATGCTGTTTTGTGTTTTGAATCTTGTCATCTCTCACGGTTCACAGTGTGGATTCATCCAGACGTTTGTCACTGTGGTATTTTGATGACTGGCTCCTCAATCATAATTTGGGAAGTGCCAGCTGATATCTCTCAGGAAGAGATGATGAAGAACTGAGGCCATGTGTTCCAACAGAAAAGTGCCTAAGGCATTTGACTGCTAACCAGAAGGCTGGAGGTTCAAATCCACCAGCCACTCCTAAGAAGGAAGATGGGGCAATCTACTTCTGTAGTGGTACTGCCTTGGAAACCCAAGGAGGGGTCACTATGAGTCGGGTCCGACTCAATGGCACATAACAATGACAACAACGAGCTGCAAAGGAACTGGTCTTAGGCCTGGCTCTGGCACCAAAAAGTTGGAGTCGTCTTGGATCACGTGATGTCTCTAGACCTCAGTTTCCTAATCTATAAAATGGGGCCATTGTAAAAACCAAATGGGATAAAGTATACAAAAGCACTTAATAGCCTTAAATGAAAACAAAATGAAAATTACCCTCTCAAGAAAATAAAATTAAATACAAGAGTCTAATTCATTCTGTCCTCAGTGCCCAGCTTCCAGGAATCCTAGAGTAGCCAATGGTCCGCTCTGATTCCTTTGCAATGTTTTAGCTTTGTTTGCTAACAGTAAAGAGAATTTTCAGGGCAGGGAGAGCAAGGGCAGCCTGACCCCCTCAAAGAGATCATCTGGGTCTTGAATCCAGAGAAACAAAAGGAGTAAAAACTTTCCTGACCACTCAGAATACCTTCAAGGTCCAGCACAAAGTCCTGTCCAGAGATGAAGGCAGACAGAAACCCATTTCCTCTTTCCTGGGCACATAGCTAGTCCACATTTCCCAGCCTCCTTTGCAAGTAGGTGTGGCCATGTGACTGAGTTACAGCCAATGGGATGTGAGCAGAATTGATGTATTCTACTTCTGTGTTAAGGTTAAGAAATGGTGTGCCCTCTCCTGTTCTCTTTCAACTTCCATCTACTAAATGAAGATGACAAGGAGGCCTGAGAGAATAATGGAGCCACAAGACTGAAGGAGTCTGGTCTCTGATTCACCATTTGAAGGAAAGATGGCCACCAAGCAGGAATATGCACTTTGGATTGTTACATGAGAGAGATGGGAAAAAAAATCTGTGTCTGAACATCACATATTTAGGGATGTGCTTGTTACAGAGTTAATACAGCACCCAGCGCTCCATCCACCCATCTGTCAGTTTGTCAGACTGTGGTAGCTTGCATGCTGCTGGTGCTGGAAGCTATGGCATTGGTAGTCTAAATACCAGCAGGGTTGCCCATGGTGGACAGGTTTCAACAGAGCTTCCAGACTAAGACAGACTAGGAAGAAAGGCTGAAGATCTAAATATGAAAATTAGTTAATGTAAGTAAACTCTATGGGTCATAACAGAATATTACCCAATATGGTGCTAGAAAATGAGCCCCATAGGTTGAAAGGCAACAACAGACTCAAGTGTGTTGACAATCAAGGTGATGGCATTGGACCAGACAGTGTTTTGTTCTATTGTAATGGGGTCATCATGGATCAGAGCCAACTCAACAGCAGCAACAACAACAACAAGCTCCAGTAGCTGCAGGTGCTATATTCCCCATGCTCCTACAGAGAGATGGGTACACACAAGCCCATGAAAGTCAAGTAAGAGCAATACCTTCCAGGCGAGTTACAAACAATTCAGCCTTCTGCTGATCGTAGCCCAGGCAGTAGTGGAGTTTGGGGGCCTGGTTCCAACTGGCAGCCTTCTCTGGGTTCCAGGTTTCCATGACGCAGACATCCTCTACCACACCTGTTGAGAGGCAAAGTGGTCACTGCCATCTACACTGGAGTCCTATTTCCCCTGATCACATCTTTCCCATCTCTGCTGCCTATGCCACAAATACAAACCCAGAGCTTCCTATCTGGGTGCAAAGCTATGGTGGACACACCAGGGCAACCCCTGTGGTCCTGGTCATTGCATTTCATGGCACCATCACAGCCCAGTGGTCAAGACATGGTCTTTGGTGTCAGACATGAGCTACTACATAACAGCTGTTATGACCATGAATAAGTTACATGACTTCTTTGAACTTCATTTCTACCTACAATGGGGATCATAATGGTTCATCCTTCCTAGAGTTACTGTGAGAATTAAATGAAATAAAGTAGAGAAAATACTTAACCCAGGGCCTGGGCTAAGCTTTCAGTGAGGGAAACTGGGATGGTGAGTGTATATGTCACCTTGGCTAGACTTTAAACACTAGCTTAAGTTGCTGCCATGGAGTAATTAAGTCAGTTGGTTATGAGTAGAGCAGATTACCTGCAATAATATAGTGTAATGTAATGACCTCACATCTAATATAATTATCTTTCATAACACAAGGCAATGTAATCAATCACCTTTCTTAATTCAATCTAATGTAATATAAGCAATTCACCCATTAAGGTCATACCAATGTAGGGTGAATCCTAAACCTAATCCCTTCTGAGTTACAAAAATATTCCAGAATAGACACAGAGATACACGCATGAAGACAGACGACATCATGTGAAGATTGTCTGCAAGCCAAGGAATGCCAAGGAACCAAGGTATGCCTGGAGTTACCACAAGGAAGGAATTGACATGGCTCAGACTCTAATTGGGAATTTTAGTCTCCAGAACTGTGAGAAAATAAATTTCTGCTTTTCAAAGCCACCCCCGTGTGATAGCTGTGTTATAGCAGCACTAGGAAACAAAGACAGGAACGATCACCGCCTATGGAGTTCTGATAAGCCCACTGTAGACAAACTCTGTCTGACCCATCTCTAGCCCCATCTCTCCCTCAGAGCACAGCCCATGCTCCCCAGGAATCCTTGTGGTTGAAGATGAATGCTGCAGAATGAGTCAGGAATAATGCTGGGGACAAGGTCATGGGTAGTAGAGTTGCCTTTATTGCTTGTTCAATAAATATTTGCTAAATGAATGAATAAATGACCTTATTTTTCATTCAGAAGTTCCCATAACCACACATATTGCTCACTCCACTCCTCACTGAACAGGGACCTAACAGCTGGAAGGTTCTCATTAGACAAACATCGTACAAGAAGTACAGGATCCAGCAGCTGCAGCAGACTCCCCTTCAAGTAAAACTAATTTTAAAATTTCTGATTTTCAGAACTAATGTAGAGGGTAGAAAGATAAAGGACTATTTAGTCCAAAAGGGCCCTGGGTGGCACAAACGGTGGAGTGCTCACCTACTAGCTGAAAGGCTGGTGGTCAAACTCACACAGAGGCACCTCAAAAGACAGGCTGGCAATCTACTCCCAAAGTACAGTCTTAAAGACCTTACGGAGCACAGTTCTACTCACACACATGGGGTTGCCATGAGTCACATTCAACAGCAGAAAATGAGGAGTGAAAAATTTCCTTGTGCAGCTAAGAAAGGAGTAGACTGACCAGGATGTGCCCAACGTGTATGCAAGACCCCTGTGATTCCCAAAGGCATCACATGGGTCACTGCAGTGTCAGTGTTAGAAGGGGCTCCCTGGCACCCAGAGGCCTCAGCTCTCAGATGGTCTCAGCCTTCAAAATCAAAACCAACCCCTGCCTACCTAGGATCTTGTGACATGGGAGGGGTGGGTGGTCGGTTCAAGTCATCCTTAGCAAGTTGGCTCTGCTACTATTCAATCCTGGAAGGGACCAAGGGCCCACACAGAAGAATGAGGTTTCAGGGAACCCTACCATTCTGAGGAAGAATGAACAGCTCCTCTGTGACCTGCCTCTTGAGGCGACTGTCATTTGGGGCCTGGGGGCTGGCTGGTGCCAGAGGCTCCTCTGTGGTCCTCAGGGTGTAGTCTGCATAGTTGATGACCTCCGGGGCCGTCACAGCTGGCTTGGGTCCATAGATGTCTGGGAACTTGAGGAGGGCTCGGGGCTGGACAGGTTCCGTGGATTTTTTAATGTTGAACTGCAAACACAAATCATTTAGTCCACAAGAGGGCCTCCTGCCTGTGTTCTACCCACAGAAGGAAGAAGCGATGGCCTGACTTTCACAGGAGGCGGGGGCAGCGGGGAGCTCTGGTGGTGTAGTGCCTAATGCATTTGACTGCTAACCAGAAGGCTGGCGGTTCAAATCCACCAGCCATTCCTCGGAAGGAAGACTGGGCAATGTACTTCAATAGAGATACCAAGGAGGGGTCGCACTATGATTCAGAACAGAATCAATAGCAGTGAGTTTGGATTTTAGTTTGGGAGAAGCCCAATCTTGGACGGTAAAACGTCATCTCCAAACCACCGGCATCTATAATATCATGAGTCATGCCAGGGCCCTCTGAGATGCCAGCCCCACTTATTCATCCCGCCTGTGTCCACACTTTCACCCATTCCTTCATCCCTCCATCTTTTCTTCTATCCATCCCTTCCTCCCTTGTGCCTTCCTCCACCCATCCCTTCCTTCACCCATCCTTCTTCCATCTGCGTCTTCCACCCCGGGGCTAAGTCCCTGTTCTGGAGAAGCCAACACAAACAGAATGGAGGACTTGCAACCTATAGTAGGAAAAGAGGTTCTCTCTCCTAGACAGAAAGTGTGTGGGCCTGCCTTGTGACTGAAAGATGAGCCAGTCTTAGGACAAAGCCAGTGTACTGATCAGCAGAGTAGAGAGACAGAAGGAATGTGTCCCTGGTAATAACACTGTTAAGTAACTGAACCAGCAAACTCTGAATGTATCCCACCTCTCTGCACTTCGAGTTACACGAGCAATATTGTTCTTATTGGTTAAGCCATTTTGATTTGGGATTTTTGTTACTTGTAGCCAACTGATACACTGCATTCTTAGTAAACATCACAGGGGATTATGACCCTCATGTAGAGAAATTCTGCCAGGGGAGGGCACCATACCCTCCTGGACTTCTCTGCATTTGACCAAAGGCATCCACATTTATTTATAGTTACTCTGCCTCACTAAGATCCCATGTGGCAAACGGCTGCCTATAGTGGAGAATGATTTATAGTCCTTGACAAGGTGGAGAGTGACATCCAATAACTGCTACAGGAGTCTCTTCAAGTAGCAAAAGCAGCAGCTCATTACCTATTCCTTCTCTTGAACAATCTTATTTATTTCATCTCAGAACCCTGGTTCCACCACATCTTTCAAATGCATCTATGTTCGTACTTAAATTGCTTAAACTTCAGGGCCCAAGAAGCAGAGAAGAGGTCTGGGAGATAATTACAGGGGAAGTGCAAGACTGCTCGCATCTCATGTCCAGATGGATGGGAGGAACACAGCCCCAGAAGATGCCTTGGAGCACCCTACCGTGCCTGCGTTCTCCCAGCCTCACCTGTCTCAGTCTTTGGCCACTCGATCCTCCTCACTGTGGTGACCGCCTCTGTGTGGACTCCAGTCAACTCACATGGGCACAGTCTGCCAATGTCCGCCTCCTGCCCTGGCTGACGTATGAGACACCAAGGGCACTGTGTCCACCCAAGAGCAACCCAGGCGCACAGAGAAGTTAATACTCCATGGGGTGAACTTGACTACCAGGAGCTGGAAGCCGGAGGATGAATTCTTCGCCCTCCCTCCTCACGATCCCTCTCAGCAGTTTCTTTGATCACCCTTTGGAAAATGATACTTTGAGATCCCATCGTTAGTTATGCTTGACACCAAGTTGTGCTTGACACCAGTACTGGGCTTTGGGCTTGCTCTCCCTGCCTCTTCCCTGCCTCCCCTCTGCTCTCCTTCCCCCTGCTTCCCTGGATTGAGCTTCCAATAAGGAGCAGCACAGTAGCCACTCTGCTTTCCGGTCCCCAGGCTAAGACAGATGGCACAACAGGGGTGGGAGGGTAGAACCAGCCCTTCGTTTCATGAACAAATATTTACTAAGTCCTGCTACAGCCCAGGCCCCAGGCTGAGTGTTAGGGATACAGAAGTGAGCAAGACAGATGCTGCCCTCCCCTTCCAGGGCCTCTGCTGGAAAAACAGAAATTAATTACACAGTTAATGATCCGTAAACAAACATTTAACCTCAACAGAGATGCTAGACGACCTCTGTTGTGACAGGATTAATTTTTCACCTAAAGGCTGTTTATTAATTTGGGTTCTCACGTGGGGCATCCCTCTTGGAGCACCCAGGAAGTCATGGGTGGAGGTGGAGCAGATCCAGGTGGTAAAAGGGTCAGACAGCCTTCCCCTTAAGTTGTTGGTTGCCATCAAGTTTGCTTGGACTCACGGCGCCCTTGTGTACAATAGAATGAAATGCTGCCTGGTTTGTTTCAGCCCATTGTTAAGGCTACTGTGTAGTGCCTTCCAACCTAAGGGGCTCAGCTTTCAGCACAGTATCAGACAATATTCTACTGCAGTCGATAACGTTTTTCATTGGCTAATCTTTCAGAGTAGATTGCCAGGCCTTTTCTTCTTAGTCTAAGTCTGGAAGCTCTGTTGAAACCAACCATCCACCATGGATGACCCTGCTTGAATTTGAAGTACTGGTGGCATAGCTTCCAGCCTCGTAGCTGCATGGAAGCTACTGCAGTATGACACACTGACAGGTGGGTGGTGGCTGCCCCTTACAAGTGAACTTAAAAACTGAAAAGAAGAGTGTTAAACATAAAGCATTTGGATAGCCAAATATGGCCCACCACTGCTGGGGGCTGCAGCACAGCTAAGCCCCCTCAAAGGGAGAGCGGCCAGGGGAATACGGCCTGTCAGATTCTGACACTCTGGGCTACATTACCTGGGGGATTAGGCACAATAATATGTGCATGTTGTTGTTGTTGTTGTGTGCTGTCCAGTTGATTTCAACTCATAGCCACCCTGTGTGACAGAGCTAAACTGCCCCGTAGGGTTTTCCTGGATGTAATCTTTGCAGGAAAAGAACACCAGGTCTTTCTCCTGTGGAGCCACAGCTTGGGTTTGAACTGTCAACCTTTTGGTTAGCACGTGAATGCTTAACTGTTGTCACCACCAACACCAACAGCAATCCCAACTCCTTGCATAAGAGTTCAAACTATAGCCTGGTGGAGAGGTGATCAAATGCTAAACTAAACAGCTTGGTTTAAGTCCAGGCTCTGCCAATTACGTCCTGTGTGACCTTGAGTCTGATTAATTAACCTCTCTGTGAAGTTCCAGGACAGGAAAAAATGAATCAATGACAATAAACATTAGAAGAGCATTTGCTTCTGGGCAGACTGATGAGGAAGAGGCATGAGTGAAACTTCTGGCTGTCATGAAAGTGTTCGTGACGGGGGTGTAGGTTACAGCCTAGAGTATGGTATTTGTCAAAATGATCAAGCTGTAAATTCAGGAGTGTGCATGTCACTGTATGCAGAGTATACCTGAATAAAAATTAGAAAAATAATATACAAACATATATACATATATATGCATACACTGACTTCATATTACTTGGTTCTATAATCAACACCAATGGAAGCAGCAGTCAAGATGTCAAACGACATATAGCACTGGGCAAATAGGCTGCAAAAGACCTTTTTCAAGTGCTGAAGAGCAAAGATGTCTCCTTGAGGACTAAGGTGTGCCTGACACAAGCCATGGTATTTTCAATTGCCTCATATGCATGTGAGAGCTGGACAATGAATAAGGAAGACTGAAGAAGAGTCGATGCTTTTGAGTTGTGGTGTTGGCAAAGAATAGTGAAAATACCATGGACTGCTAAAAGAACCATCAAATCTGTCCTGAAAGAAGTGCATCCGGAATGCTCCTTGGAAGTGAGAATGGCCAAACTTCATTTCACCTACTTTGGTCATGTTGTAAGAAGAGACCATTCCCTGGAGAAGAATATCATGCTGGGTAAAGTGGAGGGTCAGCAAAAGAGTAGAAGGCCCTCAGCATGATGGATTGACACAGTGGCTGCAACGATGGATGGGCTCAGGTATAGCAGGGATTGCGGAGCTGGCACAGAACCAGGCAGTGTTTAGTTTTGCTGTACATACCGTCGCTATGAGTCAGAGACGACTCAACTACACCTAACAACATAATAAATGCACACACACACACACACACACACACACACACACCCCTCCGTACAATCTGCCGAATCAGACTTCTTGGGGGTAGGTGTAAGGATCTGAACCATCAGCAAGTTTTCCCTGTGAGTCCTACATATAGCTAGCCCAGAACCTGTCAATGGACCTGTATTTAGGATCCACTGGTTTCTGGGTCCGGGGCTCTGGTGGCACAGAGCCTAAGGCATTTGACTGCTAACCAGGAGGTTGGAGGTTCAAATCCATCAGCTGCTCCATGAAAGGAAAATGGGGCAATCTACTTCCGTAAAGATTTCCTGCTTCAGAAACCCAATGGGGGTCGCTGTGAGTTGGAATCAGCTCGATGGCAGCAGATTTGGTGTTTTTGGTTTGGGTCTCTCGGTCATTGTGCCTCAAACTGTCCTTGCAAAGACGCTCCAGAGCAAAGGGATGCAATATGGACTCCAGGAAACTGGCAATCCTTCTTGAATTTCCAGTTCTACCTTAAAAATTCATGTGAATTTTTGCATTTGACTCCATATGATTGTTTTTATATTCAAATGTTTTAAATTGCTACCAGGAAAGAAAAGTTTCTCTTGTTTATTGTGTGGCTTGGAATATTTCCCAGGACACTGGCTGGACTATACCCTCCCACTTCTCTTTAAACACACACACTCACGCACTCCCCCTAGTGGAGAAGCAGGACTTTCTCATTTATTGTATAGAAAACTGGCATTAAGTCCCAGCTGAGAGGAACAATCATTTTTCCTCCAGGGAATGACCAACTCCTAGAGACTGAGTCTGAGAGAGTGGGAACAGCCCATGGTTAGGGCCCACTGCTCTTGGTTGACAGCTTAGAAGCTTATCAAAGTTGTCCTTCTAATTGCATAAAGAACTCTCCTAGAGGGAATTTGAGGTGTAGTAGGGAGCTCTGGTGGCGTAGTGCCTAAGGCATTTGACTGCTAACCAGAAGGCTGGCAGTTCAAACC